TCATGAAGTCTACCTGTACATTCACACCAAAGATGGCGAGAGCATCAAAGTTCGCTCTGGCGACACTGCTGTCTGCCTTCACAGCTCCGAAAACATAAAAACTCGCTACATTAATCACGTATTTAAACAGGCTGTTGCAACAAATCAGTTACATTTCCCCATAAAAACATGTTTTCTAATGCGAAAATGTTGTTGATCAAATTTATCTAACTAAGGAAGATCAAGTTGTTGCATGTGGTGTGGCTTTGCTCCACTTATTCAATATGTGCCCATATTTCTGAAATATTTCGAAGCAGCAATACTGCTTTGTATTGTCATTATAGTTAGGATGGGATTACCGCTTTTTTAAAGAAAAAAAAACATTAATGCACATTAACTCACCAGTAACTTTTTTTAATGTTTGCCCACCGCAATAATCAAACCCTTGGGAACAACTGTGGTCAGAACCAAAGTTCACAGGACTGTGTTCTCTGGAATCCTCTCAAGAGGTGGACCTCTACATTTCGATTGGTTGCCGCAGAACGCAGAGTTTTATAACTCATTACCATAAATTTGACATGATTTTAACTCTCCTTGATAGCCACACCGGCGAACACCCGCTGAGCCGTTGCTTGATGCTTATCAATGCCGGCTCCCATTGAAAATGAATAACTTCAGGTTACATTGACACTCTCGCCGCTTTTGATGTGAACGCATAGTAAGTTTTGGTAGTTTGGCATTTTTTAAACGAATTAAAAATTTATTCAGATTGAGCAAAAAGTGGCAGAAAAGCCTCCTACATTGTTATTAAAACTGATATATAATTGATTATTTTAAAGAATATCAATAAATATACGTGTGGCTTGCGCGTGCATACTGGAAGTGATGCATTTTCCAGGGGAACCTAGTTGAAAACATCTTAACTTTTCAGAATGCCGCAAGCACACCGCGAGTCATGTGACAAGAACTGACCAATCTGCTTCATACTTTGTATTGACTATACACATTTCGGTAGACTACTAACCTCAGACAAAAACAGAACACCCAAACACTGCGATGCTTTTTTTCTCCATTAATAAAACTTGTATCAGAGCTACAACAATGTTTTGCTAGTTTGTCTTCCTCTGAGAAAACGGTTGATGGTCACCTAGCAATGGCAGCCAATAATAGGAGCATCTACATTTATGATGTATATTAAATAATCCTTCGAAAGGAATTTCACACTCACCAATTTTTGACTGAATAGAATATGCATATTTGGCATGCTGTCCGGGCAGAGGGCTCTGAGCTCGAAAAGACACCCTAACTCATGTTTTTCCCTTTATCAGGATAGAGAGAGATAGGGTCCGAGCGCAGTGTCTAGCCCAGCACCAGAATGCTCTCTCCAGATTTAAGTAGGTATCATGGTTAATAGTGTAGAGTTGGGGTGGTGGAGGGATGGTGAAATCAAGAGAAAACAGAGGTATGACATGTTTGACTATTTATAGGGGTTTGGTCTTGAGCTGATTGGATAAAAGAATGATTGTCAATGATAAATAAGCCTGACTGTGCTCCCGAAATTTGTTTATAAAACATCACTTAAAAAGTAGTTTCTATGTATTGTAATCACCATAAATGACTAAAATGGTATCATAAATTCAATTTTATCCTAAAAATAGATTTGTTGTCTCAATCCAAACAGGGGTCTTAAGTCTGAACATTTCAGATCCTTGCATGTGATGATCCGTGTAATATGGAGTACAACTGTATAAATAAAGACACAACCCAGTCACTAATAGTGCGATCAGATGCTTGTCATTTTCCCAGTCGCCCCTGCTGCTGAATACATTCAGAGAGGTCAAAAGGTCAGAGCATTATTATGAAGAGCTCAGAAAGACAGGATCAGTGCTCCAATCTCCTCCATCTACACAGATCAATAGAGATTCACACAGAGCCTGTAGTGAAAGCTGGAGACAGAGGAGGGGGGTTTGGAGGAGATGCAAGAAGTAGAAGAGAAAATGAGAAAAAGAGAAAAGCGAATGACGGAGCCATGGGAATAGAGGAGGAGAAGGAGGTGCTGACAGCCTCTGGTCAGACTGAATCTCGCTCTATTGTTGAAACTGGTGAGCCGAGCGCCGCTGGGGTTGTTTCGCTCTCTATGAGCTTTCAAATCATTTTTCATAAGAGGGAAAGCCAAACCTGGACTGCTATTATTAGAAGGAAAGTGAAAAAAAAATTAAATAAAACTGAGACGTAAAACAGATACGGTTTGACAACAGAAGGCGGGCTGGATTTATTGGTTTCTTTGTTTAAGATGCAGTGGATTTTTTTTCATTTAGATTTTAAAGGGAGATGCTGCAGACAAAAACACTCATTGTTCATGCACCTGTCGATGTTGAGATTTTGGACTTGTTTGCTTTTTATAAAGTCTTTTTTTTTGTCTAATGTAAAGAAAACATCTGAGAATACAATTTTAAGTGCTTTAGATTTTTGTCAAAAAAGTTTTTTTTCCTCCTGCACAGAGCCATAAATCTTAACTGTTGCATCACTTACATACACCAAAGTTCACCAAACCTCCTGGTTCTATTCATATTTGTTTCATTCATATCATAGGTTTTTACAGAAGTAAATTCTTTCATTCGGCTTCGTCAATTTATCTATCAGGGGTCGCCACAGTGGAATGAACCGGCAACTTATTCAGCATATGTTTTACACAGCGGATGCCCTTCCAGCTGCAACCCAGCATTGGGAAACACCCATACACAACTCATCCACAGACATACACTATGGCCAATTTAGTTTGTTCAGTTTACCTATACCGCATGTCTTTGGATTGGAACACCAGGAGGAAACCCACGTGAACTAGGAGAACATGCAAACTCCACACAGAAATGCCAACTGACCAGTCGGGGCTCGAACCAGCGATCTTCTTGCTGTAAGGCGACAGTGCTAACCACTGAGCCATGGTGTCGCCTTTCAGAAGTATTTGTTCATAGATAATTTGAATCATTATATACTACTTTAATTCTATTGTAAAGTATTGAGTGTTGAAAACAGATTAAAAACCAAAATTAAAGAACTTTTGACTCTAATATGTCAAATAACTGAAACAAGATTTTTGAACCAGACTCGATCCAATGTTTAGTTTTTCTGTGATAGAAATATAAGTGAACTGTCACATTAATTATATAATGACTTATTTGTGTTTATAATTATAACATTTGAGAATAGAATATCCCTTGCTATAATATTATTTTTTTCAATTCTTAATGTACGTCAAAAGAAGCAAATTGACTTGATGTCAAAACCATGACATCTATTTGACATCTGCCAATCGATGCTCTTTTGACCACTAAATATATATAATGAAAGAAAAGTTTGATTAAGCTACAAGTTTCAATTCACTGGATTTTGTATCCCTAAAATGACATCAAATTGACATCTAACATTGGTGTCAATTACAGAATCAATTACAGAACAGTCCTGTAATCTGTATTTGACATGTTTTTCATGTCAAAGTTAAATCATTTTGACATCACATCGATTAGCATTTTAATGTTTTTTCATGTTGTTTTGATATCAAGTTTCCCACTGGATAGTTGGAAACCGGATTTATTTTTAACAAACTAGTTTTTTTTTTTCACTCATATTCAATTGCAGTGTCTTGCTTCTATGATATTGTAAATATTCTTGCTTGAGTTTTCCCACTGTTTAATAAAGCATACTCATACTCCCGTAAAAATGGATGGCACGTCTATTATTTAGAGCATAATGACAAAACAATAACTTCATTACAGCCACAAAGTGGTTTATAACCATCAAACATCAAAAACGCACATTAGTGCAGAGTATATAATTTATACTGCGAGTTAAAGTGGCACGCTATGGAGGACTGAATATGCGTGCGAGTTTGTGTGTAACGGGGGATGGGACTGCATGTGAATCTCTGTACCATATGTGTATTGTAAAAATGTGTATTGTAAATTTTTCTTTCAACAACAATGTAACATATACAGTTGAAGTCTAAATTATTTGCCCCCTGTATATTTCCCGAATTTCTGTTTAACAAAAAAGAAGATTTTTTTCAACATATTTCTAAACAATAGTTTTAATAACTCATTTCTAATAACTGATTTATTTTATCTTTGCCAAAATTAGATTTTACTATATATTTTTTTCAAGATACTAGTAATTAGCTTAAAGTCTAATTTAAAGGCTTAACTGGGTTAATTAGGTTAACTAGGCTAGTTAGAGTAATTTAGATAATTGTTGTGATAATTTCTTTGGTTTGACTCGGATATTAAAATGTACAGTACTAATATTAATATTGAGATTTTGGTCACTCCACTCTTATAAGGTGTGTATAGCTCCTTTTAAACAGGGCAACAGACAGATTTGACCATCAAAATAGTTAACAATCAAAAAAAATGTAAAGGTGTTTATTATCAGGCCAAATCTGAAGGATAAGGTGATCGTCTGACCTTTAGAGTCTTTTACTGTATTATCAATACAAGGAAAACACAATTGTAATAGGCAAGTCATTGTATAAAGATTTGTTCTGTAGACAATTGAAAAAAATACTGCTTAAAGAGGCTAATAATATTGACTTTAAAATAGTTTTTTAAGAATAATAATAACCGTTTTTATTCTAGCTGAAATAAAACAAACAAGAAAAAATATTATAGGAAATACTGAGAAAAATTCCTCGCTCCGTTAAACATAATTTGGAAAATATTTGGGGAAAAAAAAAATCACAAGAGGGCTAATAATTGACTTCAACGGTGTATGCAACATATATATATATATATATATATATATATATATATATATATATATATATATATATATATATATATATATATATATATATATATATGTTGTTATTATATATATTGTATACAGTCATTTAATATATAACGAAATGTTCTTGTTGCAAATATTCTTGATGTTTTGTTATATTAAAATATTATTTCACTGAATGACATTTGAGTGGGTGTCTTCAGTAAATTATATTCTGAGTTATGATATAAATGATGACTTACGGTCCAGAGGGACTTCAATAGCAGCCGCCTCCTCTGACAGCAGTGAGATTATTGACAACACTGCGAGTGCCGCCCACCGCCTCTGTGTCCACATCTCTCTCCTACGATTGGCTGACTCCACCCGTCCAGCTCCCTAGTGGCTCACTTGCACAGTTTCAGTTGTGTTAGATGACCTGTGAAAAGGAGAAAAAGCTTATTACACACCCTCACTGAATATTTTGACATTACTGTGACATTTAGATTATGCGACTGGACCAAAAAAAGAACTCCTCATAGAAGCCCATTTATTCGAGTTTTCTGTGGGAGACTCTGAGATGCTTTCTATGCTAAGATTCTTTAGGAATATTTGTGATGCTTTTTACTATGTACTATGTATTATATTGTACTGTAAGGAAGGTCATAATGCCATCAGTAGTAAATAATTTTGGTCACTAAGAATGAACTACAGACTGTAGAAAGGAAAATGACATGTAGGTAAATTACAGCAAAATGTTTTGTTTCTAGAATAATGTTGTACTGTAGAGTATATAATGGAAGCTATAAGTGAAATATCACCTATATTCAAGTTAGGGTTGGGTCGTTAGACGATGTCATCGCTGATAAACATCACGATGCTGAGCCGGCATCGCGATCCTCCGCCCAGCCTCTATCGCAGCAGCAACCCGCTCACGAAAAATACACACTTAGACCCCGTTTACACTAATATGTCTTATTTTAAAATGCCATTTTAGAATGCAAATGATTCACGCCCTCCGTTCACACTATTTCGCTGAAAACACACATCACGTGACCACACAAACTGTTTGTCAAGGATTTACCACTGGATTGCGTCTTACTACAGTTGTTGAAAGTTAAATTTAATGAATCTTTTCTTAATCTAACGAATCTTTGGTCTTTTGTATCTATCAGGTAACATATCACAGCGTCAGTACACTGCTTCAATGTTTTGCTTTCACGCTTATACTAAGTAATTTTATCATAAACCTCAGATACTGTTAGGTGGTTCCTGTTGGTTGTGCACCTTTTTCACTAACCAGTTTGTCAACGCCATTATAACGACACAGATCACTCTGCCTGGTCATGCCAGAGTCATGCAGAAAAAGCGATTGACAGGTGGTAATTTGTGTGTAACTTATCTTCATTTATTTATGATTTGGTTATGGATAAAACAAAGACCATGTGGGTCAGGTAGTAGGCTACAGTAGGCTACTAATAATTAATTAGTTATAAATTCATTAATTATTTATAAATAATTAATTCACCGCCGCTTATGATGCCACAATCCATTGCGATGTTATATATTTGACATAGTACAATGCTAAATTGGTCAACATTGCCCAATCCTAATTCAAGTATCAATATGATATTTTTTTGACTTTGCTTAAATTTTTCTGCACTGTGGATGTAATCAGCAGCTTAGATGAATATAGTAAATAGAAAATCTAAAACATGAAACTCACTTTACCAAGTTAAACTTTAAAAATCTGACAGATTCTTTCATATCACAAGCTCAGTTGACTGGAATAAACATCTACAAAATGTCCCTGTAGTATACATTATGTTGCATATAAATAATGTACGTTTAGGCATATTTGGATATTGTAGTTTTTAAAATTAAATATTAAAATTTCATTTATTAACCTTAATAGGGTCAAATCTGACCAATTTACAACTTAAAACACTTTCAAATATTATGTTTTACATCTAATTGCATTAAGGCTTAATAATATTCTCCACACTATGCATTTGAACAAATAAAAGTGATGATCACCTCTTTTATTGAATTTTGAGTGGTTTTGAACCTGTGGGGTTTAAAAGTGACCACCATAGAAAATGAATGGGACTATATTCATCCATCAGACAGAAAACATACTGTACACCCCCCCCCTACTCACTCACCATTATTTTATAACTCACTGTTATTTTATGTCTAATTCTATTAATTCACGTTAAACACTACTTTGAGACATTGTTCACAGCTAAAAAATGTTGAATAAAAATTTGGTTTTGAAAAAACACAGGTGAATTTTGACTGGAAACACTAAAGTAAGGGGAGGGAACTGAACAAGACAGGAGAGTTAGGGGTGTAGTGATGTATCGCTTTTTAACATTTATTGGGTAATGTTGGATTCATCTAAAGTTATAGGCATATCTGCAATAACATGAAAAAGGCCAATATTGATGGTTAATAATAACAACCCAACATTTTTTTCTCAGAGCAAAATCATTAAATACTTGCAAAAAGAAATACAAATATCAGACATGCATCAGAAAAGCAACTAATGTGCACTGTTTTGATTAGTTACAGCTAAAACATCTTAGACAATAAAACAACACTTTAGTGAGTATTTTTCTGGAGAAGCAATTTTTTTTATTACAAAGCAGCTACAGCACTGGCTTTATTTGTTCAGTTTGTTAAACAGCTATCTTCTATTATATGTCAAATAAAAGTTAATGCTGTTAAAAGCAATACTGAATAGCAAAAATCAGCTTTGAAAATTCACTCCTAAATTATGCCTCCTCTAGCTTGTACTGTATTGTACTGTATAATATCGGTAACTGTGTTGATCAAATGTTTTTTTGCTGATACTGTATATCTTCAGTTAAACAAAGAGAAAACTAAAATCATTGTGTTTGGGAACAGAGATGAGGTTCTCAAGGTGAACACGTACCTTGGCTCTAAGGGTCAAACAACAAAAAATAAGGTCAAGAATCTTGGTGTGATTCTGGAGTCAGATCTGAGTTTCAGTAGCCATGTCAAAGCAGTAACTAAATCAGCATACTACCATCTCAAAAACATTGCAAGAATTAGATGCTTTGTTCCCAGTGAAGACTTAGAGAAACTTGTTCATGCTTTTATGAGCAGCAGGGTGGATTACAGTAATGGACTCCTCGCTAGCTTTTACAAAAAGACAGTCAGACAGTTGCAGCTCATCCAGAACGCTGCTGACAGGATTCTGACCATAACCAGGAAATCAAAGCACAACACACCTGACTTCATGCCTTTACACTGGCACCCAGTTACATTCAGAATAGATTTTAATACATTACTACTTGTCTATAAATAACTAAATGGATCACTCAGATCTTTAGGATCATATAAACCAGAAATTCCAGGGGTTCAGTCAAAGCAGGGTGAATCCGCCTTCAGCTACTGCATCCCCATGCAGCTAGAATCAGCTTCCAGAAATGATCAGATGTGTGCCAACATGAGGCACATTCAAATCAAGACTGAAACACATCTGTTTAGCTGTGCCTTTACCAAATGAGTACTGTGATATGTCCAACAGATCTCACTATCATGTCTTTTTTTTCATTTACATTATTTTATAACACATTTAAACATTTTTATTTGTTTTTATAATTGTCTCTTTTATTTCTGTCTTCCTAAAGCACTTTGAAATACCACTGTAGATGAAAGGTGCAATATAAATAAACTTGCCTTGCAAAAAAATCTATTGGTGCATTCCTAGTATTTATATTGCGGTCCAAAAACTCTGATTACACTAATAAAAATACTTTACTGGCATTAATGGTTTCCTAACCTTTAACATGCATAGCTTTTCAACCCACAAACGGTTCTCTACAGTGCAAAGGGGTTCCTCAGATAAAATGATCTTCAAACACAAAAAAATGGTTGTTTGAAGGAAACAAGCAAACAAACAAACAAACAAGGTTATTATATGGCATCAATGTGAAAATCCTTTTTGGTTTTTAATAGTACCTTTATTTTTAAGAGTGTGGGCCAGTTTTACCAGTATATCATTATTATTTTTTTTTTCACAGTTGCACCGGGCAATTTTCAATCTCAAATGCCCTGCGAGTGTATTCTGTGTTTTTAATGTGTTCACGAATACTGCAGGCGTGGGCTTGGAGTGTGTGGAGGTTTTCAGCTGGCCTACATTTGCAGTTGACACTAGCATTTCCCCGGAGCCAATGGCCTTCTTACAGATGAATGCGGCATCAGCGCATCACCACACCTACACAACACCATACAAACCTCCACAGCAGGAAAAAATAAATAAATAAAACACCTTTGACAGGGTGCACCGAACCCTAAGATGGAGGACGGGGCTGATATACAAACCACTGAGGTTTGATAGTCACTTTTGATAGAAGTCTTCTGACTTTAGCTATATGCTCTGGCAGCTCTGTGTATCTGCACTGGTACATCTGTCAAATTCTTAAGAAAACTGACAGTCTCCACAGACTTTCTCACTGGGAACATTTCAGAAATCACATGGACATCAGAAATAAGACAACAATATGATTACGTTTACATTATGTAGCTGTTTTTAGAATGTTAGCTTTTACATGTTATAGTGCATAGATTGATCAACAGCACACTATAGTTTCCTCTAAAATGTAGCATATCAATGTATACAGATTGTCTTTGTTACGGTATCATTTTGGATGTTTAATGTTTGTTTAATTTGTACAAAAACATTAAGGGTAGGAAATCATTTGTCATGCTACTGTATATGTGCAAAAAGATTATAGCGGATGCTCTTTTGTTTGCTGCCGCATGTGAATCCTGTCTCAAAATGGGGAAAAATTTCCAACACTACAGTAATAGTGTGATTATGCTGTGTACATGTCTATTCTGCACTTGTATTATAAAGTATCGGTTATACTCTACATGTCTTAAAGGTATAGTTCACCCAAAAATAAAAATTACCACATCATTTACTAACTCGCATATGGTTTTATGGGTTAATGAGTTTGTTTCTTCTGCTAAACGCAAAAGAAAATATTTTTCACTTCCACAGTAAGAAAAAGAATACAATGGAAGACCATAGATCCCAGCAAACAGCATCTTTCAAAATATCTACTTTGGCAGAAAATAAAATATTTAGCAGAAAATATTTAGCAGAAAATAAAAACTCAAATACACTCTGTTCTGTTGCCATTACATAGTTTAATACATTGTTGTATCTTAAAATTTCTAAATTGCTGATTAGTGATTAGATTAAATATGTCTTTCAGTTAGACTGAAACACTATTCAACTTGTAGCAACCTTGACTGATTGGCACAATGGACATTTTAGTGTGAGATGTCGGATATTTATTTAATTTCCAAATCAACTTTCTCCATTCCACTAGAGTGTTAATCACTCCTGGTAATGTAAATACAGTTGATGATAGCAGTGTTTAAAAAATTTTTTTTTTTTTT